GCCTTTCCTATTTAGAGAAAATCAGAACTTGATGAGAAGGGAGGAAAAAACCAAACCAAATTCAACAAAACCAAACCAAACCCTAAACCAAACAAAACCCCACTGTATATTTCAAACTCCATTATTACTATTCCTAGAAACACAGCATTGCTGTGGTTGGAAGGCACTTCTGGAGATCATCTAGTCCAACTCCCTGCTCAAAACAGGGTCAGCCACAGCAGCATGCCCAGCACTGTGTCCAGCTGAGTTCTGAATATCTCCAAGGATGGAGACTGTTGGGTCAACCTATTCCAGTGTTCAACCACCACCACAGTAAAATACCACCACTTCCTCTAAACGTTTAAGTGTATTTTCCCATGTTTCAATTTGTGTCCATTGCCTATTGTCCTGTTCCTGGGCACTGCAGAGAAAAGTCTCTCTCTCTTCTTACCCCCCACATTAGGTACTTAATGCACACTGGTAAGATCCTCCTGAGCCTCCTCTTTCCAAGGCTGAACAGTTCCAGCTCTCTCAGCTTCTCTTCATCTGTCAGATGCTCCAGACCCTTAATCACCATCATGGCATTTCACTGGATTCACTCCAGTATGTCAATGTTCTTCCTGTACTGGAGAGCCCAGAACTGGACACAGCAATCCAACTGTCTCACCAGTGCTGAGGGGAAGGCTCATCTGCCTTCACCTGCTGCTGAAGCTCTGCCTAATGCAGCTGAGGACGGTCAGGTACGGAGTCTGTTTCCCTGGCAATGTTTTTTTTCTACAACAGCAGAAGAGATGCAGCATAAGTTTGAGGGAGCATTTTGCTAAAACCTGATGGTCACATCACCGAAGTAAAACATTAAAGAGGCATATTACATCCCAGGTATGTACAAGGTAGAAGAGGGAACTATGTGAGTTTTTAGTTAAAGAATGGGATAGTCATTAATTTGGTATGGGTCTTTGCATTGGCTCAACAAGAAATTCCATGTAGGATTCCAAGGGCTTCTCCAGACAGAAGTTGGGTTAAAAACACCATGTACTCCCAAAGAACTCACCACTGCAGTTCATTGAAAAATGCTCACCTAGCTTCAATCACTCTTTTTTCCCCCTTCTCAATTCAGTTTGAGTAATGCAGCAAAAATATCTCCAAATGCAAAGACATGTTATTTATTGGAACTTTGTTACCCTTTGTGATTCTGACAACTAATCAAAACCAACTGCTTCTATTTTGCACAGTTCTCAGTGCTACAGTAGTAGGAGGTTAAAATTTAATGTATTGGCAAAGTCAAATCTCAATTATCTGGGATAACGGAGTGGAGAGAGCACATAAAAGTAAAAATGCAGATAAAACACATTCAGATAAGCTATGTGAACAGCAAGGACATAAGAGAAAGAAGAAAGGAAAGTCAGTGTGCTGATCCCAGAAGAGGCACTGATGCAAACTGGCTGGGCCAGGATGCCAGGCTTTAATGCTGTTAGTCTTGAAACAAGCTGTGGGTGTAAAGCACAAACATGCAGGTATTGCACTTCTGACTGTGGCTGGTTCAGCACTGAAGTCTAACTGGGCTAGGCTGGATCTGTTCTTGGCCATTTGATTCAGTTCCTGATATGGTCCATAGCCTCTCAAATCCTGATCATCCACACACCAGGCTATGTGTGCACATCAAACCATACTCAGATTAGTTGTCTACTCCTCCTATTTCTAGACAAAGCCAAGCAGCTGTAAAATGAAACCTGGAGTAGTTGATGGTATCCAGTACTCCAAAGACTGGTCCATGGAGAGAATACAGACATAGATCCCATAAACCTTCCCCAAACACCTCTCAAATGCTGGTGCAACAAGCCTACTGCTTTCAAATACTCCTCAAACCCCTCACAGCAGTCCCCAGGACACAACACATACCTGTGGCTTCATGCTTCACTTTTGCAGATGGTATCATTGTCCTCTTATTTTAGGCATTTTGAACTCAAACGTACACGAGACAGATGACGATTACATCTTAGTACCATGGGAGCCCCACAAGGGTCCAGGGAAGAGCTGGGCCAGGTGCTGTGCAGCACAGATGCCAGTAGCCTGCTCCAAGTGCTAGCCCTGAGAAGCTCTAACAAGTGCCAGCCCACACCCCAAGCCTGTGTAGCATGGTACAGACCTACAGTGGACATCCAGATGAAGATCAGGTCCAAGGCAGTTAGTGGCAGAAGCAGCATTAGGGTTTCTGCAGCTGGCACTTTTGTCCCACGTTAGTATTGGGAACCTGCTCCTACTGCTGCCTCCTGGCCCCAACCATCATTACAGACACCACCAGGGAGGAGTGGGAATGTGAAATCAAGAGCAGGACACACTGTGGGTGTCAAGCCCACAGGAGTGGACATTTTCCCCCAGCAATTTTAGGAGTTTTGATTCTGATTCTCAGACCTTAAAATATTCCACAGGCACCAGGAATAACCTTTACACTTCACCCATATTCAGAGTGATGGAGTAATGAGTTCCCTATCTTTTCCAGGTGGATGTAGCAGTCTTCTCTTCCAGAGGTAAATCACTGTGAAGCACTGTTCAGTACCATTACAGCACTACTCAGCTCAGCCCAGACTTATCGGCACTGCAGCAGATTGATGGTTCTCCTATACATATTAAGTAATTTGGACTGGAAGCTGCCACAGAATAGCCAGATCTCATTTTCATTTGCATCTAAGATATATATCTGTGGCCTTTGCCTAAAGGTTTGTCACTCTAGCTGAAAGCTTGACAAAGGTCAGAATATTCAACTTTCTGCTTTAAATTCTAATGACAGATGAGAGAAACATTTCTTAGCATAAATATTTATATATAAACATACTTTATATATGCGTGTATACACACACCCCAATCTTAAAATATCTCAGCATATGTGTAAGTGTAACAAATACTGCCACAGAGTCACAAGTGAATGGAGTAGCATACTGTGAGTCTGCCCTGACCTAAGATGTGAATCTGAATAGAAAAAGAAAATTATTTGAGATAATGGGGTCTTGCAATTTTAGCAGTGTTCCTTCTGCACTAAAATAAGTAAGTTAAGACTAATTGGCAATGTAAGCTCTAAGAGGTTTCAAGACTGAGAAAACAGTAAACAAAAGCTAATCTATCAAATTTAGCAGGAAGCACATTATCACTGCAGAAAAGCAGAAAAATAGAATGATTTGTAGCATTCTATTGCATTAATGATTATTTCACATAAACCAGAGATTTAAAATATTCCTCTGCTTCGTTCTCCTGCACCCAAGAAAGGGCAGGCTGATTGTCCTCCCTGTGTGTGCCTCCTTTCCACTTTGCTCACAGACACTTCCACATTTAGAGAGAACAAATCTGACAAATCAGAAACTGTGCATGACCCACATTCTGACACTACAACAGCGATGACGACTGTCTTAGGAGTCACAGGAAGACCAGAAGTGGTTCCAGTTAACCCCTCTCTTTTCTGTATGTGAGTGGTCTCATGCAGCACTATGTCACACACAGTGCAAGAACGTGTCTGAAGGGCAGCTCTGAAGGACCCAACAGTTTCACATCATGCAAGCCTTGCTTTTACAGCCTGTTCGTACAGACAGGGCCAGGCAGCTCTTTACTCACCACTTCTGAAGTAAGGGTAGAAGTCAAACCACAAACAACTCTCATAATTAGCCCATCAGGCAAGTTGCCTCAAGCTTTCAATCCTGGGAGCTACATACTCATTGCACATAGTGTCCTTACTTTAAATGTGGCCTTAAAAAAGGCCAAGAATTTAAGCGCCTTAAAAGATGCAGCTAAAAACCAAAAAGGAAATAAATCTCTTCCACAGAAAGTCACTGATCAGGTAAAGAGAACTCAAGAGACAGTGAACTCCTAAATCTTACCATTTGTGTGCAATCATTTGATTTTAAAATTACAACTTGCTCTTAACCAGCTGAGGTCCATGAATCAGAAATTCCTGGCACATGGCAATTTTTAGTCAATAGGTGGTGGGAACTGGAGTTAAGAAGGGATTACATCCCCTTCCTTTTTCTTTTACAACCTTCCAGAAATCTCCCTTCGGAATTGTATCCCTCCTTTCTCCCACATCCCTTCGTGGGAACCCCAAAGCATTCATGTTTAATTCTCTAACAGAAAAGCAAAATAAGGGGCTGCCTGATAAAACATTAAGGACCTTTTCCTCTCTTGATGGAAAATACCTTCAGTTTTATGGGCACAAGTTAGTTAACTGTTTATCTGAAGGTTATCCATTAATTGCTGGCCATGTAATAGGGAAGACATTTTTTTACATATGGAGAGGCTGAGCCATGGTGCTATAAAAGCAAGTTAATATTACCTAACATTAAATGCTTGGATTATCTTCTCCCATGGATAAATCCCTCAAAAGTTAAGAACCTGTACCTAGTCTGCATGTCACTGGGACAGCACAGGAGAACAAAAGATGTCCCTCCCTTTCACTTAATTTATAAGGAGCCTGATGCAAAACTTCTCCAAAAGTATTCTCAGGAGCTTCAAAGAGAAAGTGTGTGTGTGTGATGCACACAAAACAATCTAAGAGGAGAAGCTATGCCCATTGTCCCAGTGGAGGCTTAAATGCAGATTTATTACAGACAGAATTTATTCCATCAAAATTTGTTCTCAGCCTCTGTGGACTGATTCCTCCTACACTACTGTATTGATTTCACTACTGAAGTGCTGCTAATGAGTCAGGCACTCCGTGTCCATTGTGCTACTATAAAGGATCACATTTTGTTATATGGACCATAAAATGCAGCAGAAGAAAATAAATCTGTTTTGGTTTTGAACCACTGCCTGCTTTGGTGTCTGCATCAAAGCAATAACTCTTTAAATAACCACTATGTACTGTTTTGTTTCCATTTATAAAGATAAAAATGATGGTGCCAATGATGCTCCCATGCATTTATATTCAGAAACAGCTCTTTACTGTTAAAAGTCTGGGGACAGCAAGGGAATTAAGTCAGGATTTCATAAACTGAAGGGCTTATAAAACCCATCCACACAGAGAGGTATTTACTCACATGGTGCATAGAACATGACAAGGGTGTGCTTCTTCTTCTTCAAGGACTCCCTGAAGTCTTCTCCAGCAAGGTGGATAACACTAGTCTGTTTTTCTTCCCATGCAGGCTCAGGTGGAGGTGGTGCTTCAGGACTAGAAAAGAAGGACAATGAGACTGGTTTGAAAAGGTTTCTGGAAGAGGCAAAGGGGCAGCATTGTCCTGGTCATAACTACCATGAGGGAACCAAGGTCGAAAAATCCTCCAGGGAGCCTGTGCAATAGAAAAACATGCTCAATACTTCCAACATCAGATAAGAGCCAAAAAGAAGCAAGTTAATTTTTGGAATTCAATAAAAATATAATTTAGGTGACTGTACTCAGGCATATGAATAGAAATGCAAAATAAAGATTTCCTACATTGCATCCAATTTCTGGGTGGAAAAAACATTGCTCTTGTACCACTGGGTCATCCACAGGCATGAATTGAGAAGAACAGCAAGCAGGTGGAATCAAAAGACAACCGATATAGAACAGCATCTTCCATTCAAACATCCTTTTTGTACTCTTTATGACTATCATGGAAACTTCTATAAAGAATTTCGTGACCTTCTCTTGAATTCAGATATTAAAGCCAGGATGCAATAATCAGCATCGTTCCACTCGGAAGACTGGGGGTGACTGAACTGGAATATTTTACCTTGATAAAGAGAATGTCAGGTTTCAATTATGACTGCACATACTGGCTAGATCAGAGCAATGCTGCACACCTAGAGCGCCTCTAACAAAACTTCTGCTATTCACCAGCTCACAGACTTCTCTCAGACTCATTAAATACCTGCTGTATATAGTGATTACTTATATAAAATCATCAGAATGGTGCCACAGTATAAAGACCTTCATATGTCGCCTTGGTAATAAATTAGCTTTTCAGACTTTCCTGTCACTTTGAATGACACCATTTTAAGTTGTATCAGGTACATAAAAACCAAGTGGAGAAAAACTCCATTTCTAAAGACCTGCTCAAGGTCACTTGGTAGACATCCATCAGATTTCCAGTATATAAAATCATCAGAATGGTGCCACAGTATAAAGACCTTCATATGTCGCCTTGGTAATAAATTAGCTTTTCAGACTTTCCTGTCACTTTGAATGACACCATTTTAAGTTGTATCAGGTACATAAAAACCAAGTGGAGAAAAACTCCATTTCTAAAGACCTGCTCAAGGTCACTTGGTAGACATCCATCAGATTTCCAGTTCTTAGAGAAAGAATTAGGACAGGTGGTCTGAATTTGCACACAAACACAGTCGGTGTGAGCTATCACTGATTAGTTACAGACAGAGGTGTGACTTATTCTTACATAAACTTTTCCATGCTGACCTGAAATAATCTACCCAGCCACGGGTAACAAGCTAGTGTGGCAGCACAGTCTCCAAAGAGAAACCAGAGCCAAAACTCACATGGTTGCAACTACACCACCCACTGGGACAGGTTCACACAAGCTGTACTTTTATCTCCAGGCTGCACCCCAGATGCATCCCTGGTTCCACCAGCTTCAGTGCCCTGCACCCCAGACGCATCCCTGGTTCCACCAGCTTCAGTGCAGCTGTGACAATTTTATCCCTGGTCACAAAACAAGGACGTTATTCTATTGTGTCTCTAGTTGGGAAAACATCCAGGAGTCAAGAGCAGGAGACAAGCTGCCTGGGTTTCACCTGTGTTGCTGACTATGTGAGGCTGCAGACAAGAGTCTTCAAGAGGCACAGCAGGGTCCAGAAACTATTAACACCCCTTTCCTCTTCCTCATTGCTTATCCACCTGCCAGTATGTACAGGCAGCATCAATCTGACTGTTTAACTCTATACAAATTCCACAGTGCTCAAATGACTCGAGCAAACTGGTGAAGTGAAGATAGTGATGTAACATGCACTGTGCAGGGAGGCCAAGGGAGTACCATGTCTAAATGTAAAATACAGATAAAACTTCTCAACATGCTACAAAGATGGTGACCATATCTATTACCTGATTTGAAACAGCCAGAGATGCAATTTAAAAAGAAAAGATTAAATTCCTCATGCCAACTACATGTAACAGTTAAATGATTTAAAAACACCACAAAACTCTGGCAGGTTTTTTTACCCGTTGAATAATGCAGAAAATATATTAGGCTTACGGTACCTAAAGAAAATGCATATTTTTA